CATCAATCACAATGGCGGCAAGCAGCAGTAGTGCAGCTATTTATTTCTAGAGGTCGCTAAGGTACAACTTAACTTGGCGCGTCTGTAAAAAATATTATAAAGGAACAGCTGCAGCCGATTATGATGTCATTGAGTACAATGAATGGTTGTTTGTCTAAAGACGAGTCATAAACGCGACCTATGCCAACATTCCTTTCTCATTTACCAAGATAAAATGACATTTGTGATTTGAATGTGTGTGGGCGACCCTCCAGAAAAGAAGACGTAGTTAAAACCGTTTGGAAATTTTACACGTTGTGTAACGCTGCCCTTATCCTGTCTATCCTATGACGTGCATTTCCTTAAAGGGGTGCAAACGAGGGGTAAACCGCAACCCAAATTTTGTACACTGATTTCCTATAAATATTAGATTTCCTCTGAGTTCCTTCGAGTTCTTCAGAGTTCATTTGATTTCTTCGGAGTTTCCCTGATTTCCTCCGAGTTCCTCCAACTTCCACGGAATACCTCTGATTTCCTTGGAGTTCCCTCGATTTTCTTTTGGAGTTCCTGTGAGTTCCTCTGATTTTTTAAAGTTTTTTAATTATTTCATTGTTATTCCGTTGATTTAACAATTTCCTGGTAAGTAAAACCCGAGGTAAAACCATAAAAAAAATATAAAAGTGTCAAGTGTCAGTTAAAAAGTAATCGTAAACGATTTACATAAAGCGCATTTCCACTTGCATTCATTTCCCATTTGTAAGATGCAACTTCTGTTAAAATCGTAAAAATCCGGCCACAAATATGAAAGATAGCGTTGCACATGGGCAATCCATTGTTGACGTGCTACTTCAATTTCAGTTTATGAGAAGAATTTCATATCAATGCTTTTCTAAATAAGAAAGTTGGAACTGCGCATGCGCAAACCTAAATTTTAAAACTAATGTTAGATTTTCCTTTGTTCCAAGCGCCCAAGTATCAAATTTCACTTAAATAGTTCCATAGATAAAAAAGTTGGCACTGCGCATGCGCAAAATAAAATTTTGAAACTGGCGCTAGATTTTCCTTAATTCCAAGTGCCTATGTATCACATTTCATTTAAATTCTTCCATAAATAAAAAAGTTGGCACTGCGCATGCGCAAAACCAAATTTTGAAATTGGCGTTTGATTTTCCTTTATTCCAAGTGCCTATGTATCAAATTTCATTCAAATACTTTTATAAGTAAAAAAGTTTGCAATTCGGTTTATGGTCGAGATGCGAAAAGGGCACTGTGAATTTTGAATCGATTCGATTCAACTTTTGGCATTGCGTATTATATGGCTAAATCTATGCCCATATTGAATTTCATGCAATTCAGTTCATAACTCACGGAGATGTAAAAGCGATCGAACATTTCTAAACAAAGTTATCGTTCACACGGACAGATAGATGGACAGACAGACAAAGGAACAGACGGAGAGACCAACCGGCAGGCGACAGATAGCAATGAAAAATTATAAACGATCTCTAGGATCGTTAATAATCGGCAAAAGGGTAAAATTATGGAACATCTAAAAAACGGTTTTTTGTTTTTTTTACAATAACTTTTTTTGTAAGCGGTACAGAAAAAATTCCTTCCTTGGTACAAGACTCGACACCATAACGAACCAAATAGCGAAAAAAGTAGAACAATAGCTCTTAAGATAAAGAACTAGTAGCGTCGCAAAGTTACGGACGGACGGACGGACGGATAAAGACACGACCTTAGACGAAACACTATTTTATATTTTAATAGACCTATTTGCAATGAGAAAAACTCATTATTAAATGAGAAAAATACCATAAACAAATAAAAAAATTAGTTAAGACCAAATTAAATAATAAAATGCAGCACGAGTTCCTTTGATTTCTTTAGAGTTCCCTTGATTTCCTCGGAGTTCCCATTTCCTTGGAATTCCTCCTGAATACACATGGAATTCCTTGGAATTCTTAGCTTTCCTAGGAGTTCCTCCGGAATTCCTATGATTTCCCATAGATTTCCTCAAACGTGTACACTGATTTCCCATCGCGGTTTACCCCTCGGGTGCAAACATGCATTTATTATCTTCGTTGGCGCAGAGACCAGATCTACTGTCCAAATTCTCCGGGTATGCTCAGGGGTAGAGATCATGGGGGGCGGGGGTGAATTTTCAGTAAAAAAAATATGAATTGCCCCGAGTAACGATTTTTTCACGGTTAATTTTTTACTTCACTGTACCCTCGTAGCGCCGCCCCTGGGCATCCTCTGTCAATTTCGAGGGCAGAGATGGACTCTACGCCTTCGATAACCCCCGGAGTAGGATTTCTCCAGCTTTTCATATAACGAGCTATCAAAAAAGGATTGACAATCGAGTCGCCGATTTTCTGGGTAACCAAAAATTCCAAAAGTTGCTCGACAACAACTCTTTTTTGATCGCATAGTATGAAGTAGGTATTAGCACAGATTTAAATATACTATTTATATTTAAATCTGTGGTATTAGTGAAAATAAATGATTACAAATTGTAGGTATGACAAAATAAAAAAAACAAACAGTTTTTTGTAAATAAAGCAAATTCCCCCATGTATCCTTTAAATTCACCACGTCAAAAAATTATAAGAAGATTAACAAATGAACGTCAAAAATTTTATTTGCGATTTCGACTGCAAAGCGAGAGCAGAAGGGCTAGGTATTTGAATAAAAAAACATGCCTTGAATTTTTTGAATTATAACCTCTGGCACAGATCTACACATACACAGATTGCTAACCTTATGCATTTTTTGGGAAACAAATTTAGGTATACTTAAAAGCGACCTCTATTGCGGAGCAGTATAAACATGTACCGTTTAAAACTGTAATATGACGCTTATGGATTTATGCATTAGATGTCGCTGCAAAAAATTTAAAGCGGTAAAGTATGCATATAATCCAGTTTAATTATATTTTTACCAGAAAAGTTGTGGGGTAGTTTCGATTTCTTTGATGTTATATGTTTTTTGGGGTGCTGAATCCGAATCTGAGGTTTGCTAACAAAATTTCATGACGCAACATTGAAAAAAATACAAAAAAGTTGAAAAAGATATTTTTTTAGCAGTTTTGTGCTTACAACTCGAAAACTATCAACTTTTCGAAAATAACCTCCCTATCTTTTATCGGCGTGGTAAAGAGTGTAACGTTAATGATGGCAGAGATATACATAGTTTTTAAGTATGCCTTTGCGGTTAGCAATCTGTCAAGACCTTTAAAGCCGCAAATAGTTTCCGCCAACTTCAAAAAACCTTCACGATTATTTAAGAACCTGCCCTAGGTTCGTGTGTATCTGTGACCACAGGGACCCGCTTTTAATAACTCCCTTACGACGAATGAGTAGCTCCAGTGTTAAATTAAACAATTATGGCTCAACGTACCTCCTATCATGTCATACCACTGTAATAAAACAAATATTAAGGAATTCGAATTGTGCAAACTTTAGCGCTTTAATTTTGTTTCAGCGACATCTAACGCATAAGTCCATAAGCGTCATATTACAGTTTTAAACGATACATGTTTATACTGCTCCGCAATAGAGGGCGCTTTTAAGTATACCTAAATTTGTTTCCCAAAAAATGCATAAGGTTAGCAATCTGTGTATGTGTAGATCTGTGCCTCTGGTAATAGTGCATAATCGGTTTTTGCGTGTACCTTTAAATGTAATTTAATCTATGTCAACACTCAACCAGCTGTTTTTTATCTCGTTAAAATAAGCAAAGGAATGTACACAAGGTCATGGAAGAACATGTAAAAGTAATTTAATTTAGAGTATAAACAAACCAATTGTGTAAGTAGATAGTACCACCTACTCAACACGATGTGGCAGCACAATTTATTTAGTACAAAGATAATACCATTGAATTTATAACTATATAAATTCAATGATAATACTTCACTATCTTTCGATTTTAAAACATGCCGCGACCTCTGATATTTAATGGCTGAATCATGGTTGCCTCATTTCATAACTGGTTCAATTTTTTAATTCGTATGCCGTCCTTAAGGTACTGAGGGTTCCATAGCCTCTATATAAAACCTTTTTGTATGGTTTTAGAGCGTTCAACATGTATTCGAGGGTTACAGTCACTAAGCGCTTTTTAATAACCCAAAGCCTTCTAAAGGCTTCAGAAACCTCGAAGAACAGTGTTAAAGGAATTCGTTTTGAGGAGCCCTTGCGATTCGGCAAGAGGCGTGAGTTTTCGAGAGCCTATCGAGAGCTTATTTTAGAGTCCCTCAGGCCGTTGCTTCTCTTTGTAAGCCTTGCCTTTAGGCCCAGTTCACACTGAACGGACCTGTAGCGGAGGCGTAGCGGAGACGTGGCACAGACTTATGTCCTCTCCGCGCTGCCCTATGCAAACAAACGATGTATCGCACACTGACGCGACGTGGCACGGTCGGCCGCCTTCCCGCCGCCGCCACGTCTCTTCCAAGTCGCTAGTGGCGTATGTGTAGTGACGATATATTTCATGTCACAATCTCGCCTTCTCAATGTCGTTTGTTTGCGTCACGTCTCCGCCACAGGTCCGTTCAGTTTGAACTGGGCCTTAGGCTTTTAAAGATTTAAAGAGCAGCAGCAGAAAACAAAAACTGTACAAGTCTTTTTAAGAGCGGTTCCTAGTGTAAGAGCTTTTATATGCTATTTATTATGTAACGGCTCTGAATTGTTGCTTAGTCTTAAACGGTTGTCCAGGGTTTCCTTTATAAAAGCTGATAGTTAATATTTTTCCTAAGCTTTCAAGGGAAGTGTCCAGATTGTTTAAGAGCCTTTACAGTCCCTATTAATTGTAATGGTATTATCATTAACAGGTTCTATGCCTGCTAAAGGCTAACCTTCAAGTGAGGAATTATCAGATACCTAATTAAAAACCATTACAAACCCATCAAAAAAGGGCTCATAAGGCCTTAGTGGATAGTGGTCCATAGGAAAAGTTGGGCTGTTCAAATACAGGGCTGTTGTAAACATTTGGAGAACAACTCGGACGCCAAAAAAAAGTTATTTACTTAATTTTTTATTAAACATTTTACATACAAAACCAAAGAAAAGTATAACAAATTTACTGGAAATACAAATAGATATCCTAAAGGACGTCAACTCATTGCTATAGCACAAAAAAACTGGTCCTCATTTTCAAAAATACTTCTCGAGTGTCGCCACCAACTCTTTGGGACTAGTATCTGGACCAAACCTGGCTACCGGTTGTCCATTTTTATCGATCACAAACTTGGTAAAATTCCACTTGATGAAGTCCCCAAACGTGCCTCCTTGGTGGTGCTTCAAATACTTCCAGAGAGGATGGGCGTCGTTTCCATTCACGTTGATCTTTTCGTATATATCGAACTTGACGTTGTGCTTACGCACGAAGCTACAGATCGTCGCCGAATCGCCGGGCTCCTGTCCACCGAACTGGTTGCACGGAAAGCTCAAAATCCTTAGACCCTTACTATCGCCGTACTGCTCGTAGAGCTCGCCGAGCTCTTCGTAGTGATTTTTGGTGTAGCCGCATTGAGAGGCGACGTTGACGATTATGGCGACGTGCCCGCGATACTTATCCAAGCTGACCTCCTCGCCGTCGATCGTCTTCGCCGTAAAGTCGTAAATCGACTTCGCCTCCTTCCAATTCGTCTCCGAGGATGTCATTATGGTTCTGGAATTACAAAAATTGTAAGGGAGAGGTGTTGGTCTAATCGAAGTACCTTAGACCTGCAAACAAGACAGGTGAAAGGCTAATGAAGGCTGGTCTACAAAACATTGTGAAATAAGTATTATAGGTGCATAACGATTTGCACCTGCGATATTTCTACTTACTAAAGATTTTTATTTATAGGTTATGACTTATGAGTAATCAGCTGTTCCTTTGTCACTCCAATTACAAAAATAACAATCAGTGGCGTCTCAACATAAGTACACTTCCCTAGGTTTGGTGATACCAAAGCTTAGAGTGTGCAACCTAGTAAAGCAAGAAGATCTTCTCGCTAATCATTCAATTTAAAACGTAATGAATTTGAACCCCTTATTTTGACAAGTATAAAAATGAGCTTTTTACTCATGTTGCGACGCCACTGATGGTTGTTTTTGAAGAGGAAGGGATGACAATTAAATAAGGTTATGAACAGATGACTTGACTAATAAAAAAAACTAGATAAAAAGTGATTATTTGTAATTTATCTCTACAGTAAGTACAACTATCGATTAATACGTCATGCTCCAGTAGTCCTCATTTCACAATGTTTCGTAAACCGGCCTTAATTAGCCTTACAGCTGTCTTATTTGCAGGCTTAAGGTACTTCTGTTAGCCGGATTCCTCTCTCTTATGATTCATTTAATTGCAGAACAGTAATGGCGTCATCAGAGATCAATTGGAAAGAGGCGAAGTCGATTTACGATTTTACGGCGAAGACAATCGACGGCGAGGAAGTCAGCTTGGATAAGTATCGGGGGCATGTCGCGATAATCGTGAACGTCGCCTCTCAGTGCGGCTACACCAAAAATCACTACGAAGAGCTGGGCGAGCTCTTCGACCAGTACGGCGACAGCAAAGGTTTAAAGATCTTGGGCTTTCCGTGCAACCAGTTTGCCGGGCAGGAGCCGGGCGATTCGGCGACAATTTGCAGTTTCGTACGTACGCACAACGTCAAGTTTGACATGTATGAAAAGGTCAACGTTAACGGCGACGATGCTCATCCGCTGTGGAAGTATTTGAAGCATCAGCAGGGTGGTACGTTTGGGGATTTCATCAAGTGGAATTTTACCAAGTTTGTCATCGATAAAAATGGACAGCCCGTAGCGAGGTTTGGCCCGAATACTAGCCCCAAAGAGTTGGTGTCGACACTAGAGAAGTATTGGTGAAAATTAGGACCGCTTTCAATTATATAAAGTAGGCTTAGTTTTGAATTGGTTTTGTGCTCTTTAGGCCCTTTAGATTGGCTCAAGGAGATGGTGTGTTCTTATATGTTACCACTATTTATTATGTTCCTATAGCTTTTCTAGTTTTGTATCCAAAAGAAGCTGTATTTTGAATAAAATAAGAAAAAAATTTGCTTCCAATGAATTTAATTTTCTATACAGGGTGCACAAAATGAATGTAACAAAGAAATCAAGTTGGCCTTGGAAATTGCATGACGTTTTTCCATTTATAGTGCTGCCACATCTTGTCGAATTGTGGTACTATTTGATTATTCAACTATATAATGTATCTGTTACCTATATATACACCAGCTGAATATGTCAGAACCAAACACTGTCACTGTATATGACATAAGTAAATAATTTTAAAGTTTGCCACAAAATGGCTGCCGCGTACCACATGATGCAGCAACTAATAGAAAATGAGACACCTATTGTCCCACTTCCTTGTACAGGAGTCACTGTAACAATATGATGTATTACAGTTACTATATAGGGTGGCCATATTCTCATATCCGCCATTTTTTCCATATGATGTATGGTTGAACTTATGAGAGAATTGCATATTTTAATTTTTTATAGATTAATGGTGCGATTAACGCTTTTGTACTTAAGCTTTCTTGGGTAGAGAATTTTATTACCTTCAATATGCATGTAACCATTTGATTAAAATATGGAAACTATAAAATCAATCAAACATTATTTTACCTACACAAATCCTGCACAAATCAGGCGTAGGTACGTTTGAAACGTGGCTTACACGAGACAACCTAATTTCAATTATTATTGATTTGCGTACGTATACCAAAGTCATAAAACGCACAAAATGTAATTATACCGATTAAGAATTTGGAATTGTAAGATGCCCATTTCTTTTCAGTTATGAATAGATACATAATAACCTGGGACAAATGAACAAAAAACCTTCACGTCAAGGTGTATACCGAAAATAAAAAACAAATGCCTTATTACCGTTTTTTTTTTATTATTTACATTGTTGAGAACATAATGGATTTACTCACATATAAACAGGCGATTTACTCTCACTTTTCTGACTTGTATTTTCAGCTTTCGTTTTCCACCCACTCTAGTTTTTTCCCACATGTCGATTTCAAAATATGTTTAAAAAGCGACATGGCAAAGATACGAATTTAATTTTACTTACTTCACAAAGAAATGTGCTATTCGTAGGTGTCCAGTTTTCCTGTCTAACTTTAGCAACCCTTTCTTCTTTAGAGGTCCCTAGGAAACACATTTCATAATCCTTGCTTGCTTCTGTTAGAACACCCAATAGCGGAGCATGGAACCATTATAAACACTGGAAACAAGTATCCATATGAACAGTTTTATTACAAAAATCAGTTAATTATACTGTTCAATTTGTAAATTACCTATCCTTTAATCTATACATATATACAGGGTCATTCTTGACGAGCGTCAGTTAGAAAGATATGGAAAACCTTAGAAAATGAAGATAAACTGATAAGTTCTTTAAGGGATTTGGCACATGATGAATTGAACTAAAATATTTTCAAGATGGCGCCACTTCCGGAAATACCGGAAGTAGCCATCAACTTTGTTATTTTAAATAGGAGCCCCCTATTTTTTCTACATTTTCGGATTCTACGTCAAATTTGGAGTACAACGATACCCCATAGTTGACCCTTTGCTCCAAGGGCTTCGCCGATATTTAAGTTTTTATGTCAAAAATTGAATTTGCAGGGGTAATTCGAAAACGGTGAGAGATATTGCAACCATTGAGTTAGAAAATTAATGGAGGGAATCAAATGCTTGGCCAGACGTAGACCACGGGAACCAAAAGTGGCCTCTAGCTGTGATTAAAGTACCACACCACTTCCGTTATCATTAGCGTCTCACTTCAGTGGCGTAGAGATATAATTTTCTTTCCACTAATAGGAATAATAACAAAAAAAACGTATAGAAGGAGTAAAATACATGCTCGTGGTAAAGTAAACAAAATAGACAAGGATGGGAAAGTATGCAGATTTAATATAATCATTGATTACAAATCTAAATATACATCGATGTGTTCCAGTAGTATAATTAAGGCCAGTTTACTATAATAGCCACTACAACTTGACAACTCCCATTAAATTCACTGTGTGGATCAATAGCTACAATTGACTGGTTGGTCTCAGGTTCATTACAACGGCAGAGAGATTCAATAATAATTTATTGTTTATTGGTCTCAAAATGTATCCGCACTCGTAAAAAAACTTACACCTGATATCCATATTATAAACTCANAAAAATCCTAACAGGTGAGACTAATTTACTCAAGGGGTGGCCATCCTCTACAGTTTGAAAATTGCAACAACAGGTAATCGGTTTTTAATCCAGCATGGGCTGGGACTTATTTAAATAAACACAAAAATTTATCCTACTCTTTGGTAATCGTTCATTGGACTTTAATAAACAATCAACTCAAAAATTTTTTTTCTATAGCTTAATTACCAAAAAGTGGAATTTTACAGAACGTTACAAATTTAATTAGACTAACCTTTACAACATTTGTACAGCCGATCTTGTGAACTGCTCTTTCCTCTGGTACAGGGTGGATGGGATGAAACCTGACACTTAGGTCTCTGTGACTTCCTAGGGGGTGGCTTGAATTTAACACACGGAAACAAAAATCCACGGTGCCTATCCTTCCTCGGAACGAAAGCAAAGTTTAGTGTTTGAACGGAAACTTAGTCCAGGAAATCCTTCGCGTGGCGAGTGGGAGACGGCTAGTTGCCAAAGTTTCTACACAGCACGTGTACTTAATTTTATTTTATTAGTTTATTAGCTTTGATCGCCTGCGGGAGACGGATTTTTTGAGTTAGCGGTACGGCAGAACACAAACTTTTATGATCACTATCCGACGGTAAACCGCGATGGGTCAAAGTATTATTTCACCAGCTCTTCTTGGGGCAAATATCTCTCCGAAACGTAGCGCTCCTTCGACAAATGACCTTACGGCACTAGTAGGAAATTCCACCTGGGGCGGATCCCGAAATTCTGCGCCTTGAGGACTAGGGCAGCACTTTGACTTATATATCCTCGAGAAATCACAACGTATCCTAACGCGATTCACTGCATCCAAAGTAAACTGGGATGAAGCTCAAGGGTTCGCCAAAATATCACCTGATTGGAACCTGGTCTTCTTCGCAAAAAAATCAACGCGCAAAGAAAATAACACTTCGGAACGGGTGCAAAAAGCACGCAACTGGGAGCAACCGAAATAAGCCGGTGGCTCAAACCGCCAAGTGTACCAAAACGATCGCTCAAGGTACGTGTTGACCGCTTGACGTACTAACCGCGAGTCTTTCCAAAACGCGATCACTCAAAGTACGTGTTGACCCCTCGACGTACTAACCGAGAGTCTCTTCTAAAACGATCCCCTTCTTCAGAATTGAAATGAAAAAACCACACCCAAATTACCATAAAACAAAAATGGCTCCCGCTAGAAATTCTCCCATTGGTTCAGATAAAGAAGACTTAACCCACTCTAACTTCGTCGTCAACCTCAAGGAACTGCTGACTAAACTGATCTCACGGTTTTCTGCTGATGACGTGAAAACTCCTTATCTCTTGACGGCTCGGTGCTACATCCGCTCCTATTCTCGGTCCAGACGGCGCAAAAGTTGATAAACGAACGACAAAAAACTCGCATTACTCATGATGACGTCAATCAGCTTTGCACTCTTCCCACGACGAAATTAAATCTGAGCGAAATTAAATCTATCGGACCATAGTCTTGAGCGAACCGAAATGCCCAAACACAAAATTTCTAACCGGAACAAATAATGAAATATACAGGGTGACCTTCACTATCATGACAAGAAATTTCGAAAATTTTTAATGAAATTTGGCGCGAAATCAAACCACTCGTTACAAGTGATAAAATTTGGAATTTGACAATGACGTTTTCCTAACATCTTCCTAACAAATTGGATCATTTGTCCTAAGTGGGGTGGGATTCTGCAAAATTGGCGTCATACTGCCAAATGTCCAATTTAAGGCTAGTTGTGAGTAATTATTCTATTCGTATTTTAGCCAATCTTTTACGCAGTTGACTGGAACGATGTTTCATTCGTACCAAAAGTGAACTATTATGAGTCGGAAGATAAGTCCAGAAACAGGCCATTTTATAGCGTACACTGAGTACAAGTAACCATGTGTATCGAGGGTACTGCAGATTATTTCCGAGGGCAACTCCAAAGAATGAGTAAATATTGGAAAACATATTAAACACATTAAAGTATTTTATATCTAATAGATATTATCTATGTTATACAATGTTTACGATAGTAGCATTTCCATGGTAGATAACTTCATTGGTTACAATTCAAACACTGCCCAATTAAGTTTCTTATTTATGTCAATCAACTGAACAGGTACAACTGGCTTATAGTGTTTCATAGATGACTCGATCCATTCTTAAAATACAACAACCCGTCCGACAAATGCCAAGATATATCCTGACGTAATCGCAGCGTAAAATCGCTTAAATACAGCAGACAAATATGCTCAGACAGTTTCTCAACTAATATTAAAACGGTAGGCAGTTCTACGGTAAAGTACCTAGACCTACCATCGAACATTTAATATAAAAATTAGAGAATTGTTTGAAGAGCAGTGACTAATTTATTTTTTTATTATTATTAGAGCCTTTTACGTTTACCTAATCACTGCATGTATGTTTTTCAGAGGAACCAATTCGATGTGATAAAAATTTTATTTCATAGATATTGATCCGTGACAGATTACACCATCCCTTTTTGCAACGATAATTTAAAAAATCAGAATGAACAATTTGACGATGAGAATAATGGTATTTTGATTTCCAATTTTTTAAAATAAAAAAATATACAAAACAGATAATAAGGCTATTTTTTCCACATTTAATAATACTGCTACAATTTTATTGTAGTGGTTCATAAGCGAATATAATGACTATTTTAGCCGCACCACCGTAAAGTTAATTTGTCCATTTAACATTTTTTTAAAAGATGCATATCGCGATGAAAAATAATATGATGACAGTAAAGTTTACGCGCCCACAGACGATAAACAAATGACCTGCAAACTTAGCAGCAGTATGATCTTGGGCCAGCCACCGTGAAGTTAGTTCGCTCATTTGGAATTTTGTTAGTTCGCTCATTTGGAATTTTTAAAAAAGATATTACGGAAATGTAAACAAACGATGAAAATAGTTAAACAAACGTAAACAAACGATAAACAAACGACCTGCATCGATAAACATACAAAATTATGATTTTGGGCGAGCCACCGTGAAATTAGCTCACCCATTTTGAATTTTTAAAAAAGACATACGGAAATGTAAACAAACGATGAAAATAGTTAAACAAACGTAAACAAACGATAAACAAAGATGTGCATACAAATAATTTGTGACGTTATTTTCTTTACCGTGTAATCTTTGCTTTGGCTTATATTTGAATTACTATATGGAATCCCTCTCGAATAACATTATGCGAACTCTTACCTTTATATAGCAATCCTTACGCCATCTAGGTGTTCACATTATAACCCGATCCTTTATTTGCGATATAGTTTTCTTTTAAAAAAACCTTTTGTCTAGTGTTCTGTTGATTGGCGCGGTTATTCTTCTCCCACTCCCGCGCAGTCCTTGTTGAAGAACTCGATTCGATCTTGACTTGTATTTGAGCTACACGCCATTACACTTACTTGACATATTCGACTACCTTTTTTTGGGATTAATTAGTGGTGTTGTACTAAGATTAGTGAAGTTTTCTCTTATCATCTTACTTCCAATTTCGCTGATGACGCATTGCTGCGGATTTATCGTACAAGTTTAAGGCCGTTTTGCGGTATGTTAGCTATGACGCATTATCTTTTTATTTTAATTAATCTATTTTAGGCTACTTTCGTACTCCCTAAGTTTTCTTACTTATTATTTTGGTTTTACCAATTGCTTTCTGACTGTACATTGATATTTTGACGTGGAAACGCGAATACCCGATTTTCCATATGGTGCAATAGAATTCCATTGAAGTTTCGACGCCATTAAAATTCAAAAACGCTCTACATATTTCTACCTTACCGACTGAAGAATTACCGCCATTTCATGTGAAACCGATATTTGAACTGATGACCCAATTTTACGAAGTTCGTTGACCTACGATTCATTCTTCCGAAACGCAAGTACTTAATTAACGAGACGTGTGGAGTTAGTACTGTGTAAATTTTTAATTAACGTTATGTATTTTACTTTGAAGAACTTGCTCGTGTGATTTCTTTTGAATTGATAAGATTGCTTTGTCATTGAAGATAGATTCAGTTATTTTATTTGTACATTTTATAGTATTTTTCTCTTAAAACTTTATGTCACTTTTTGATATCTCACACCGATTGTGAAAACCAACCCTTAGTCGAACCAAATTTTGTTTTGTTGTAAAGTCATTTGAATTTTTTTGATTCTTTTTAGTATTGATTGCAATTCTACGTACAAGAATAACCATTCGTGTCTTACGTTAACCATTGCTTATGCGATATATTGTGCAACGCAAATCATTACCCTTCTTATATTTTTTTTGTTTTTGTGTCTGACTGTTTCAGATTTGCAGTTTCGCGTCCTCTGAGCTCGGAAGGTTGCGACCGGAGTTCAAGATAAATTTAGTTATTTTCGTCGTTTTTCCCTTTTAACGTTTGATTACATTTTGGTTGTTGATACTAACGAGTTGTGATTATTACTTTGTTTGAAAGTCACTTAATGATTATAGCTCCGTTGTTGCTGCGGAAGCCCTTTTGGATAAATATTTTCCCAGGCTACGTGTTGGCTTCTCATTTGTTTTATTAGAGATTATGTTAAATTCCCAGTTTGATATACTAGATCGATATATTACAGTGTCAGATTTGTGATATTTTGAGATCTTTGTTATTAAACTACCCGCATTTATACATCAACTACTGTTTGTTTTCCCCATAATTGTGTATTCCTTTGAGTTTAGTAAGACGAGAATAAGGATCTCTTGGTCTGCCTTGTTCATCCCTTTAGTATTCCTCTCTCTCTAGATTTATCAAAGACTAAGTGGCGCCTATCCGGATTACTTTTACTGTTTCCTTCCCTTTTTGCCTTATTTGTGTGTGTATAGAAGAACCCCAGTTTCACCCCGATCCACCTCTACTTTGCCTGAGCTTACCGTGTGCTTATCTAAGGTAATTTTGTCACGTTGGCCCAAAGTGAACGTAACAAATATTAATATGAACAATGGGCGGTGCCAACTTCACGGACGTAAAATATTAAATCAAGGAATGGGGAGGGGGGAGGGGGGAGGCAAAACAAAATTCGTAAAATAGTATATCTACCGAATGGCTTCCTAACGTCACAAACATTACTGAACTATGAAACGGTTTGACAGGCATAATTAAATTTATAATATTGTCAAGGGGTTAGCAAGGTCGACCTAATTTATGAGCCTCTGATAAGATAATAAATTGTAGACTGTAAACTGCAACTAATTTATGTCGATCTAGATGAAATATAATAACATTTCAAAAATGGTAGACTTGCAACCATGTTTTTGAAAACTTACTTCTTTAAAACTTAACCCCCACCCCCTCCCACATTAGCCAGTTTTATACTTGTATTCCTTCAGTTGTGTGATGGACTGGAAGTCGAAAAGCACCAGACCAACGAATCCGAGGAAGAACGCGAACGTCTTTTGCGTTCCAACATTTCTGTAGGTGTCACACGACTGCAGTACTTCCGATAATAGTGTCTTATGTAGCTTTACACTACCGATCTTCTTCAAAGGATGGCGACAGGAGTTGACAGAGGCCGACGTTTACGAGCCACTTTCCGGTTACCGTGCGCGCTTGCTTGGTGAAAAATTGGAGCAGCTATGGAGAGAAGAGGTTCAGAAATGTAAAAAATCGAATGCGACGCCGACGCTTCGAAATCCGCTAATACGGGCCTTTTGGTTTGAGGGCACCGTGAATGGATTGATTTTGATGGTGAATGAAGTGATTGTCAAGTGAGTGACTTGAAAAGTTGTATGTAAAAAAAGATTTTTTTAGGCCTCTACAATGCGTTCTGATCGGTCGACTTATTACCGTCGTCTCTTCCGTCGACAACGTGGGGAAGCATGAATTGTATATGTATGGTGCAGGGGTGGCTTGTTGCTCGCTGATAGCTTCCTCCTTAATGCACCCGTACATGCTGGCAGCTCATAATCTAGGTTTGAAGCTAAGGATCGCGTGCATTTCTTTAGTTTATCGGAAGATCCTGAGACTAAAACTTAGTGAAATCGAAGGGATAAGTTCTGGAAAAATTCTCACGCTAGTTACAAACGATTCGAATCGCTTCTATGAGATTCCTATAATGATGCACTACCCTTGGGTAGTGGTGCTTCAAATTGTCGTAGCAGGATGGTTCCTATATGAAGAGTTTGAGATTTCGTCGCTATGTGGTGTTGGCTTTATAATTTCATTCGTGGGGCTTTATTGTGAGTACCCGTGATTTTTATTTTTGAAAACTTGCTGTTACAGTACTTCTGGGAATGATTTTGAAACGCTTACGTTCGAAAACACTCACAAAAACGGACGAAAGGGTGCGTGTGACCAAGGAGATCATCTACGGCATACAAATGCTCAAAATGTACAAGTGGGAAGGCTATTTTTCGAATTTGGTGTCTGCATGTCGCAGGTAAAGCATCTACTATATAGGTTTGCATGTAACATCTTCAATTTTTAAGATTGGAAATCAGATCTACGCGCCTTTCTTCGTACGTAAAAGGGATGTGTACGAGTTTCCATCTTTTTGTACAACGCACGTCGGTTTTTGTCACGATTTTGGTTTTTGTGCTTTTAGGCAACGATATAACAGCTGCAAAAGCGTTTCAATTGGTATCTTTTTACACTATCCTGCGAAATACTGTCGTATACTTCCTGCCAAAGGCCATTCATGTAATAATGGAGTCCGTAATTCCACTGGGAAGATTAAGCGAGTTTCTTCGCTGCGATGAAATCCAGAACGATTCACCCGCTCCCTCAGACGGAAGTGGAGACGCAATCATACTCCGCAACGTTTTTGTGCAGAAAGCTTCCGCCAACCTTCTTTCTGACATGAGTGCCACTATAGGACGAAACCGCTTGGTTGTGATTGTCGGGCCAGTCGGTTGCGGTAAAACAAACTTGGCACACGCTATCCTAAACGAGATGTCTTTGAGCTCAGGTTCACTAACAGTGTCAGGAAGTGTCAGTTACGCATCTCAAGAACCTTGGATCTTCACCAGCAGTGTACGACAGAATATCATTTTCGACAATACAATGGACAAAGAACGCTATGACAACGTAGTGAAAGCTTGTGCTTTAAGCCGTGACCTGAAACTGTTCCCTCACCACGATCAGACAATCGTGGGCGAGCACGGTGCGTCACTAAGTGGTGGACAAAAAGCGAGAATCGGCCTGGCTAGGGCCGTTTACAGAAACGCTGACATTTACATTTTGGACGACCCTCTATCGGCTGTAGACTCCCGCGTTGGAAAGTCAATCTTCGACAACTGCTTCAAGTCACTACTGAAGGATAAGACTGTTCTCCTAATTACTCACCAGGTGCAATACTTGAAGGCCGCCGGTCATATTATTGTACTTAACAATGGTACGGTGACAGCCCAAGGTAGATTTTCAGACTTGGTTTCCCAAAACGTCGACTTTGACAAGATACTTTGCAACGGGGAAGGTGAAATGCTCGCAGAATGCGAAATAAATCCTCTGAAAACACGAACCGCGCGCACCGAGTCATTAGTGTCCAAGCCAGTAGATGTTTCAAACACAACGAACGAGCAAGCAACTACAGGTGTCATTACAAGCTCTGTCTACAAAACCTACTTCTCAGCGGGAAGCCATTGGAGCACCTTGTGCTTTATGATTGCTCTATTTGTGATAGCCCAAGTACTTGCAAGTGGATCTGATTACTTCATCGCCTATTGGTACGTGTTAATTCTGGTAGAACTGACCTGAAATGTTGCGATTTCAGGGTTAATTTGAAGCAAGTCCAAACTTCGTCGATCAGCATGCCAATTGACATATTCATTTACATTTACACGACCTTAATCCTGGGGGTAATAGTTTTTGGTGTTGCTGCAATGGTCACCTTACATAATCTGTGCATGCAATCTTCGACCAGCTTGCACAACGCCATGTTTACAAGTGTTCTCGGATCGCCATTAAAATTCTTCCATCTAAACCACTCTGGAAGAATCTTGAACCGATTCTCCAAAGATCTACAAACAGTCGATGAAGAGCTACCACTTATGATGCACGAAACTGCTCTGTTGGGTCTTGTGACCAGTGGAGCGTTAGTTCTTATGGCCACTGTCAACTACCTTTCATTAATTCCAGCTTCAATCGCTATTGTAATGTTGTACTATCTGCGCAAGTTCTATCTCGCAACAAGTAGAAACCTTAAACGCTTGGAGGCGACAAGTACGTATTAATATAGATTAAGTATATGACGAGAGTGAACAAAATTTTAAGCTAGGAGTCCGGTTTTGGGCTATGTAAACGCCACGATCCAGGGATTATCAACGATACGCGCCTTTAACGCCCAGCAGGTTGTGCTAAATGAGTTTAACTACCACCAAGATCTGAACTCTTCCGCCTCTTACATGTTCATCTCAACATCCAGAGCCTTTGGTTATTGGACTGATCTATCCTGCAACATGTATGGGATCTCTGCCATATTTCTTATCCTCATCATTGGCGGTGAGTGTTTGAGATGCATCTGAAGCCTTCTTTTAAGTTTGTAGATAACTTGGGCGGGAATCTTGGAATAATCCTAACCCAAAGCTTAGGACTAACGGGAATTCTTCAGTTCGTGGTGCGGCAATACGCTGAAATGGAGAACGCCATGACATCGGTTGAACGCGTTCTAGAATATGGCGCACTTGAGCAAGAAAAAGAAGACGAATCCATTACACCTCCTCCAAATTGGCCGGAACACGGCGAAATCGTTTTCGACAGCATTTCACTCCGATACTCACGTGAGGTTCTGATCTTAAACAACATCAACCTTCTAATTAAACCAAGAGAAAAAATCGGCATCGTTGGGCGAACGGGGGCTGGAAAATCGTCAATTATCAACGCCCTGTTTAGATTAAGCGAGTTTTCAGGCTCGATTGCAATCGACGGAATCGATACCAAGACTGTCCCACTGAGTGAATTGCGTTCCAAAATTTCGATTATTCCCCAACAGCCGACCATCTTCTCGGGATCGGTGAGAAACAACCTGGACCCGTTTCGCGAATATTCCGACGACATTCTATGGAAAACACTGGAGAACGTCGAATTGAAAGATCCCGTCAATGACCTGCCCTCCGGTTTAAATTCGATTGTTACTGAAGGTGGTGCCAATTTTAGTATTGGTCAACGTCAACTCGTATGTTTAGCGCGTGCGATGCTGAGGAAAAATAAGATTCTTGTTCTCGACGAAGCCACAGCGAACGTGGATCCAAAGACTGATCTTTTAATACAAAGAAATGTTAGGGAGAACTTTTCGGATTGCACGGTTCTGACGATCGCCCACAAGTTGGACACTGTCATGGACTCTGATAAAATTTTAGTTATAGACGACGGAAAGGTGGTGGAATTTGACCACCCTCACGTATTGCTACAAAATTCCGACGGTGCCTTCTGTGGTATGGTTGACCAAATGGATAAGTTATCGGCGGAATATTTGCGGAATGTTGCCCAGATGGTAAACCATTATTTCTGGATTTGAGAAGTACTAATTTGATACCTACTTTCTAGAATTACGCAAACAATATGACAGAGAGCTCTAGGTTGTGATGCTTCCAGTTTTGCCCACGTTTGATAGTAGTTAAAATAAAACCGGTAGTCAATATTACAGTGCCTTGCCGCACAATAGTATTACTTGCTTGTCAGTTAATGGTAGTTGTGGGACCGATAGCAGCGTACAGTTTTCGGAGTTTGAACAGTAAGGAACGGAGGATAGTGGCCAAATACAAAAACCTTTTATATCAGTTGCGTATGTGCATGCCCCTCCTCAAATTCAAAGATTGTGAGAAATTTTAGGGTACGGTTCATTGTTTTCTTAGCACTATTTTATTTCTCTATTCGATAGGGTTTTGTGTGCTATTCAATTTTTATAAGTGGTGTCCTGTGCCTAAACCCCTAGTTTTTAGATTATTGAATATTTTTCACAAAACAATAATGAATTACATGTTTATATACAGGATCGAGTAAATAGTGATAATAGAAACCAAAAGAATTCCAGTAAGCAAGTGTCACAAGTAAATTATTTGCTGCAATTAATGTGCTCCCTATTTCGTAGTAAAATAAGATTAAGTAAAAAGGCGAATTTCGAACTAGTCTTTTTAAAAAATCGTATTTTACTAGGAAATAACGAGTACACTTGCAGCAAACAATTAATTTATGGCACTTGTTTACTATTTGGCATTCTTTGGTTTTTTTATTATCACGGTTTACTCCTGTTTATAATAATGTAATTCATTAATGTGTAACTGTTTAGTGAAAAATATTGAATAACTTAAAAACTACGGGGTTTAGGCACAGGATATCTAAGAATTAAAGAGCGCACAACAGACCGTCGAATAGAGAAACAAAATAGTGGTAGTTCCATTTGAATAAAAATAGTTATAGCACTTTGAAAACTAGAAATTTTACAATTTTTTTGTAAATTCACAAAATTCTGTATCATTAAATTCAACTTTCTCATTACCAAGTGTTGCCTTTTATTCAGATTAAAATTATTGATTTCTATTTCTTAACTTTAAAATCAAGGTCGCTACGATTTATCAAAATGGGACTGGTTTATAGAGAATTATTCGGAAAAAAATTAATAATTTGGCCTGCAGAGGTTAAAAAATGACATCGAATAAGCTAAAAATAAACAGGCTGTTCCATTAAAAAAATCAGCTGTGTATTGACACCGTAAACATGAGACACTCTGTACATTCAAAAATAATTTCTGTAGATGCACAACCTTCTATAGTTGACATTTGCACAAAAGATTTTTGCTATCTTTTTACCAGGTATGAACTTGGAAAGACCGACGCAGTGTTATAGGACCCTGTATAATTGTTATAAATCGTAAAAAACGAAGAAAGAATGGGAAAATTTCGTCTTTTTAGCGCATTTCCACAAAAATAAAAAACAAGTTAAAAAGTAATCGTAAACGATTTACATAAAGCGCATTTCCACTTGCATTCATTGCCCATTTGTAAGATGCAACTTCTGTTAAAATCGTAAAAATCCGGCCACAAATATGAAAGATAGCGTTGCACATGGGCAATCCATTTTTGACGTGCTACTTCAAGTTCAGTTTATGAGAAGAATTTCATTTCAATGCTTTTCTAAATAAGAAAGTTGGAACTGCGCATGCGCAAACCTAAATTTTGAAACTAATGTTAGATTTTCCTTGTTCCAAGCGCCTAAATATCAAATTTCACTTAAATGCTTCCATAGATAAAAAAGTTGGCACTGCGCATGCGCAAAATAAAATTTTGAAACTGGCGCTAGATTTTCCTTTATTCCAAGCACCTATGTATCAAATTTCATTTAAATGCTTCCATAAATAAAAAAAATTGACACTGCGCATGCGCGAAACCAAATTTTGAAACTGGTGTTAGATTTTCCTTTATTCCAAGCACCTATGTATCAAATTTCATTTAAATGCTTCCATAAATAAAAAAAAATTGACACTGCGCATGCGCGAAACCAAATTTTGAAACTGGTGTTAGATTTTCCTTTATTCCAAGTGCCTATGTATCACATTTCATGTAAATTCTTCCATAAATAAAAAGTTGGCACTACGCATGCGTAAAACCAAATTTTGAAATTGGCGTTTGATTTTCCTTTATTCCATGTGCCTATGTATCAAATTTCGCTTAAATTCTTCCATAAATAAAAAAGTTGGCACTGCGCATGCGCAAAACCAAATTTTGAAATTGGCGTTTGATTTTCCTTTATTCCAAGTGGCTATGTATCAAATTTCATTTAAATATTTTTATAATTAAAAAAATTTGCAATTCGGTTTATAAATGGTCGAGATGCGAAAAGGGCACTGTGAATTTTGAATCGATTCGACTCAACTTTTGGCATTGCGTATTATATGGCTAAAGCTATGCCCATATTGAATTCCATGCAATTCAGTTAATAACTAACGGAGATGTAAAAGCGATCGGACATTTCTAAACAAAGTTATCGTTCACACGGACAGATACAGGGACAGACAGACAAAGGAACAGACGGACAGACCAACAGACAGACGACAGACAGCAATACAAAATTATAAACGATCTCTACAATCGTTAATAAACGGCAAAAGTGTAAAATTATGGAACATGTAAAAAACGGTTTTTTGTTTTTTTTACAATAACTTTTTTTGTAAGCGGTACAGAAAAAATTCCTTCCTTGGTGCAAGACTCGACACCATAACGAACCATAACGACCAAATAGCGAAAAAAGTAGAACAATAGCTCTTAAGATAAAGAACTAGTAGCGTCGCAAAACGAGAGGACGAACGGACGGACGGACGCACGGACGGACAAAGTGGCCACAATAGCGCATTTATTTTTTATTTTTGTGGAAATGCGCTAAAAATGCGCTATTGTGGCCACTTTGTCCGTCCGTCCGTCCGCTCGTTTTGCGACGCTACTAATTCTTTATCTTAAGAGGTATTGTTCTACTTTTTTCGCTATTTGGTTCGTTATGGTGTTGAGTCTTGTACCAAGGAAGGAATTTTTTCTGTACCGTTTACAAAAAAAGTTATTGTAAAAAAAACAAAAAACCGTTTTTTAATGTTCCATAATTTTACACTTTTGCCGTTTATTAACGATCCTAGAGATTGTTTATAATTTTGCATTGCTATCTGTCGTCTGCCTGTTGGTCTGTCCGTCTGTTCCTTTGTCTGTCTGTCCATCTATCTGTCCGTGTGAACGATAACTTTGTTTAGAAATGTTCGATCGCTTTTACATCTCCGTTAGTTATGAACTGAATTGCATGAAATTCAATATGGGCATAGCTTTAGCCATATAATACGCAATGCCAAAAGTTGAATCGAATCGATTCAAAATTCACAGTGCCCTTTTCGCATCTCGACCATTTATAAACCGAATTGCAAACTTTTTTACTTATAAAAATATTTGAATGAAATTTGATACATAGGCACTTGGGATAAAGGAAAATCAAACGCCAGTTTCAAAATTTGGTTTTGCGCATGCGCAGTGCCAACTTTTTTATCTATGGAAGCATTTAACTGAAATTTGATACTTAGGCGCTTGGAACAAAGGAAAATCTAACATTAGTTTGAAAATTTAGGTTTGCGCATGCGCAGTTCCAACTTTCTTATTTAGAAAAGCATTGAAATGAAATTCTTCTCATAAACTGAAATTGAAGTAGCACGTCAAAAATGGATTGCCCATGTGCAACGCTATCTTTCATATTTGTGGCCGGATTTTTACGATTTTAACAGAAGTTGCATCTTAAAAATGGGAAATGAATGCAAGTGGAAATGCGCTTTATGTAAATCGTTTACGATTACTTTTTAACTTGTTAAATTCGAATTTCATTTAGGTGCCCGTTCATTATCACGTTATTAAATTCTGAGCTCAATGACAACCCCCAGACTACATAAGATACGACCGTTGGAGTTTTTTTCCATCGCGTTTCGTCATAAAGGGATTCGGGGTTTCCAACATCAAGCAAGATAGATGCCCTAAGAGGATTATGTCTGCGACGCCCTAATCCAAGAAATATTTAAGCGATTAATTAATTTTTATGATATAGGATTTAAATTCGCTTCTATTTCAATGGAGCAGCTGATACAATGCTTTAGCAATTTACGAGCTATACCTTCGGGAATATAAAAATCTCTCCTATATCCCACCAGAAGCATATCGTGACGGAAATTGAGAAATTTCCGATGTACTTTAATAAATGTGAAGTAAATGCGAAACGTTTCCTCTAAAATTAAGAGTTAATGTTTCATTTTTCATCAATGGCCTCGATAAAGTGCTGGCTATTGCTTTAATAATTACCAATAACCTAAATAATGCAAAATAAATATTTCTATGATCACAAAACAGGGACAGAAATTGCATTTCAGTCCCTTGAGAAATAATGATAATGAAAACTCCCTGATATTTATATAGGTTATATTAACTCAAACTTAAAAAGGTACATTGTTTATATTTAAATTAAACGTTATATTTTCACATTTTGTAAAATTTACCGCTGGAATTTTATTAATCAATAGATTCGAATCAGAACTGGCTCCCGATGTTATATTGACATTTGAGGTAGTGCTACCTTGAATCATCTGATTTGCAATCTTCGTTTTGTTGGCCACAGAGTTCTCAATGTAGCTTTCCGCGACTGTGGTGGACTTCCACCCACCATGCCGTTTTATAGTGGTGATGTCAGCTCCAGCATCCGCCAATAGAGTGGTGGAGGAACGCCTCATGCAGTGCCCCGTATAGAGTTCTGGGTTTGGTAATTTTAAGTAATTGGCGATCATATTTGGCACCTTGCCAAGCGTGTTTTTCCCAACCGGCTGAGTACATTTTCCGTTCTTGTAGAAAACAAAAAATCGTCCATGGTTAGTTCCAGGTCGAAGGGACGTGTATTTGCGAATTATCTGAAGAAAATCCACTTTACCGCCTTCATTACTCGCTATAACGAACGTTCTGGATGTTTTGTTTTTTGTATGTGGCAGGGTAATTATGAAAGAAGACCCCACATCTTCAACGTTATCCAGTGTCATATTGACCAATTCGTCAGTGCGACATGCCAACTCAACGCAACCTAAAGAGGAAATGGTTAGCAATGTTTAATACGTTAAGTAAACGCAATTTTACCTTTCGCATAAGATGGGTATCATCGTCAGCTTCAAGCAAGAATTTTTCCACCTCTTCTCTATTAAATATTTTCGATTTTTTCGGAGAATATCCATCAGAATTCCTTTTTAAAAATGATATCAATTTTGGAAATTTGTTGATGTCAACATTGTCGTAAATGAGCATACAAGACCTCTCCATGGAATATTGTGCCCATACCGTTGAACATTTATACTTTTTGGCTTTTTCGCTAAAGTAAACCAACATAACATTG